GATGGACGCATTATCCATATCCCGCTCTCGCCAAAGATCATCCAAAAGTGCGACCAGTGCTGTTCCTGTCCCATAACCAAGCCTGAAACCTGACTGATAGGGGTCCAGATAATCCATTTCCTCCAGGATCCTCTGAAGCTGCTGCGTGACCACCTTTTCCACCACTTTTCCTAGAAAGGGAAGGTGGGAGACTGGATGAAAATAGTCCAGAAGGGTGGGATCTAGCGATGGTTTCTTGAAGAGGGGGTGGACCAAAGCCTCCTTGAAAGGTTTCGGGAACACCCCCTCCTGCAAGGATGAATTGACCATCGCCAGTTATACTGAGGTTGGGACTGGACTTTTGTTTTGTTTTAATAAGAAAACAACCACTTAGAATATAAATCTGTGGTTTTTAGCTCAACACAGTGAATTAGAGCAGTACATTTCAATCTTTTTCAAATCTGGCACCCATTTTTAGTCCAAATATATTTTTCTCTGGAAAGAACTCTTTTTTTAAAAAAATGTGTCTATTTTTATCAATAACAGTGACCACTTTCTCTGAAGAAAAAACTAGCAGTAATACCAGCTGTGTAGACAAAATATATATGTCTTTAATCCCAAGGTATTTGAAGCCTAAATCCTTCCAGGAGAAAATTTGCTTCATAAATCTAAAACCAGTACATAAACATTAGTCAGACTATCCATATATTTCCAAGAACTAAATCAACATTTCCTTATACCCTTAATATAATAAAAAATGAACAGCAGCTGATAGCTACAGTTTTTCAAAAACTATTACAAAAATATATATTACTTACAATTTTCCACAAATAATTAAAATTTATTTGTAAACTAATCATGTCATATTTCATTAAAAGCAAGAAATTCAAAATTGTATTAAAATACACATAAATATGGGACAATCAGATTGAGGTAGTTTGGTTATAAAAATGATATAGGCCAATTAGGTTTTCATCAGTCTGAAAATGTCATCAGTGCTACAGTTAACACTATGAAATGTGTGCAAATTGGCAAGAAAGATACACAGTCAATGTCTAAATTAATTCAAAGCAAGATTCAAGGATGTTGCTTTGGTGATATCATTTGGAAGAGAATTTCACAGAATCTTTATATTTATTTATTTTATGATATTTATAACCTACCCCAGTCCTAATTAAATCTGGGCAGGGTACATCAAAGGAAAGTGCAAAAGACAAAAAAGTAAATGCTTGGTATAAACAGTGAAAGTAATATTAAAAGCCATTGAAAAAAATACAGTTGCCTTAAAACTAACCTTATCTATTCTAAGGCTGAATTGCTTTAGCTCGTTTATGAAATACCTGCAGGGTGAGGACCATCCGTATCTTCAGTGGAAAAGTATTCCTAATCCTTACCCTCTATGTTGACAGAGAGAAGACTTAACAATCCTGTATACTCTATTTGGAGTGATTTTGTGTTTGCTCAGAGTCTACTGTTGAGTCAGTTGCCCACGTTTTACTCCACTGCACTCTTTATGATAAGTAATGTGCAGCCCTTATGTATCTACTTACCGAGTGCACTGGATGGCCAGAAATTTTAATTGTTCATTTCCTATTCAGACTTTTCATTGAAGGTTTCCAGAAAAGTTGCCAAGTTCTGTTCAATTCTCATTGTCTTTAGAAGGTTTTGGGCTTTAGACATCAAAAGGATAATCTCAACTGTACTAGAACATTTTCTCTAGTCTCCTTTTTATTGTATTGCTTCATTTACTTGCATTATATTGTTTATTACTATCTCTTTCCTTGTTTGGGGGGGGATTGTGTTTCACTATAAACCCATGAAGTAAGTAATAGCCTGGAGCTGTGCTATAAAAGGTATTGGCCGGGACATTGAATTGGGCCTGGCAGCCTACTGAATAGATACTGCTACCAAAAATGCATTTATAGGTGATACCCTTGCCTCTCTTGAATTGAAGGCTATCATCTCTTTACAAGGCCAAGTTCAGATGGGAGACATATTCCTCTTTGGAATGTATTTTCTGTATCAAGCATCACCTTTGCAGGTTTAGCATTAATTTGCAAACTGTAAAAGGAACATAGATAAAACACAAAAGTTACCGTTCGTTGTAAGAGTTTATACATGTTTCTATTATGTCTAAGATCATAATATGATCAGCACAGGAGGTGTTTTCACAGTACCTGATACTACAAAACAACATGAAAGCAATCTTGCTATAAAATTAGTATTCAAGCTAATTTTTTAAATTCCAGAAACCCAATTAGGAAGAGGGTGACTATTAATAATTTCATTAATTGTTATATTGTTTTGTGTCTCTTCTTGTCCTCTTAGGACCCTATATTAAGCAACTTTTATTGGAGTTTTGCTACTTAAGTCCACTGATTTCTTGCAGAGTTAAATTGAATAACAAAATCATGAATCTTGCCCTGATGTTGACTTATAATGTTTTGGTGGAAGAATTTTGTTATGGACCTTCGTCAGAGCAGTTTTTCTAAGGGAAAATGAAATGCTGAAGTCTTAGAATATTTATTCTTGATATACCCCAGCATAATCTCTCTATTGAAAAAAGACATTTTAGAATAAACGCCTAAAATTGCAGATTTTGTACTCTTAACTGTACCTCTATGGAAATGTATGTGCTACTGGTGATTTTTAGTCAACTCTATGTTTATTTGTTTAATTAAAATATTTCCAGGCCATCTATTAAGATAAAAGCCCAACTAGGGTGGTTTGCCTAATAAAATTTATTATAAAACCATTAAGTAATAAAATAGCAAATATTAACATAATAATAGTAATAATATTAATAATATTAATTTATTAAAATTACATGCTGCCCAACTCCCAGCGACTCTGGGGGATTTACAATTATTAAAACATTAAAAAGCAAAGAACAATACAGAAAACACAAAAACAGCACAAGACAAAAGAACAACAATGGCAAAGAAAACAAACCTGGAAGGGAACAGAAAGGAAGAAAGGGGCATCAGTCGTCCTTTCCAAAGGCCTGGGCAAAGAACCAGGTCTTGAAGGCCCTTTGAAATTACCAATAGGGTGAGCTATTCGAATTTCAAAATCCTTGAGCACTCCCATGCTAAGCTGTGTGCTACAGTGAAGATCATAACTTGGGAAGAATTCATAAATTAATGTGTTTTCCTTAGTTTTATCATTGTTTCTTTTGTTGCAACTTCACTAATGTATGTGTTTGAAGTTGTCATTTGCTTGCATTTGCCTATAATGGTGTTTCTTTCATATTGTTTTCATTCAGAATTATTGCTAATTTGTGAACTGGCATATCGTTGATTGCTTTATATTTCAAAATCTTGAAATTAAAAGTTGGGCACGCAGGTTTACAATTAGAAATTGAAAATGTATGCCCTGATTATGGGTTGAAATATGCATCACCAGTGTAACTATATGTAATAAAAATCACATTAATTTACACAAAAGATCTTTCTTTAAACCACCCAGACTGACTGACTGATTGCATTTCTATTCTGCTGCAATCTAAATCAACCCTTTGTGGCAGATTAGATAGGAAAAGTCCACATAAATGTTGGTACAATGATTTTTTCCCTTAATTGTAGTTTGTCAATGCTGAATTTTGTAACATATGGATTAAAACTGGATGCTTCCAAACAAACCAATGACTGTGGTTTAATGGTTCAGATGTAATAGAAAGATACAATTAACCAGGGCTTTGTTTTTCTGCTCATGTGATGAAAAGTGCAAAATGATACAGCGGTGCAAATTTGGAGACAGTCTCAGCAGTGGCAGTTGCAGCAGAAGTCTCTTTTGGTCAAGTGCAGATGGGAAGTCCCATGAAATAGCCATATTGAACCAAATGCTTGATGCCTCCAAATTATTCACATAGTTCCACAAGAATGGAAGGGTTATTTAATACCAAAATTTGATCTTCTGAATGCAACTGTGATCTAGTCCTAACATACATATATATCTGGTACTTCTCTCCATTGCCTGACCCTTGCATAATTATGATAAATAAGAACAATGAAGGAATGTTGCAGGAGGGTTGTTGGGGCACTATGCTTTAAGCAGAGGATTTATTTATTTATTTATTTATTTGTCAAATTTAGTCACCGCCCATCTCACTCAAGGAGCGACTCTGGGTGGTTTACAATAAAACAAGAATAAATACTAATTAAAATACAGTAAAACAATGTAGATAAATAAATAATCTATTCCAATTGATGGTAAATGAAAGTTATTAACCTACAGGAGCATCTTCAGGGTGCCATCCACCCCCAGGGTTGGTTACCCCTCCTCACACCCCATGCGAGTTGGCAGAGCCAGGTCTTCACCCCTTTCTGGAAGGCTGGGAGAGTGGGGGCCTGCCTCATCTCTGGGGGGAGAATGTTTCATAGGGTAGGGGCAACGGCACAGAAGGCTCTCCTCCTGGGCCCCACCAATCAACATTCATAGGTACTTAGATATAAATTTCTTAATTTTGTAATAGAGATAAAACCAAATATGTGCCTATCTCACATATACTTGCTTATGCATCAAGCTACTGGGGGCAGACCAGGGGGTGGGGGTGGGGGGGAATGAAGCAAGTAGAGGAAAAATAAAGTGTTAAAGTGTTCATTTAAATTTTGCTATTGTCTTTGTTTCTAGGCAAAATCCTTGTCTGGTGACTAGAGCAGCATATCTTGATGTCCTTATTCTGTTGAATAATTATCTGGGGAAGTCAAAAATAAAAGGTAAGGTTGAGCTAATGCATCACTTTCCTGCCAGTAAAAAACAAAAACAAAAACTACAATCTTTAAGACTGTACTGGGACTGAAGGGATAGATTTTACTATGCCCTGGATTGTCAGTCTTAAAAATACCACTACTCTCCTTGTAATGTGAAAAAAAGCAGAGCCTTCTCAGTATAATGGAGATAAAGCAAAGACCTCATTCCAAGGCTCAAATTGCAAAAATGGGGATGAAGGGATAAATGTGATTTTGATCTTTGACAAGGAAAAATGGAAGAAGACAAACCCCACAATTCCAATATTATAATAAGGTGAAGAACGTTGTGCTATCTTCTTCTTTGGCTAACATAAAAGTAGAGTTGAGGAAAAACAATTTTTTTGCTAAGTTTCTGAACACTCTAAAGTGAACTGCATAATGCATTGACAACTACTGTATTATATTGAAGCTCTAATAAATCCTCATGCTGTTTACGTTAATTCTAACCTAAATACAAGCAGTCCCTGGGTTAAGAACGTCTGACTTACAGACAACTCATAGTTACAGACTGCCTATTACTAAAAATGGCGGATGGCGTTCTCCTTCCTCGAGCTGATGAACTGCTGAAGCCATGCAATGTTTACATGAACCGCTGAAGCTGCATGTTTTTAATATCCAGCCTGTTTTCAGCGGTTCATGAAAACATTGCATGGCTTCAGCGGTTCATAGGCTGGAGGAAGGAGAAAGCCATCCGCCATTTTTAGTAATAGGCAGCCCGTTTGTAAGTACGAATTCTGACTTACATACACATTCGAGTTAAAGGCAGACTTAGGAATAGAAGTCATTCTTAACCCAGGGACTGCCTGTAAACTTTAACTGCTTTTTGGTTTTTCCTAACTTAGCTTCTTAGTCCCAACAATGCTAATCCACAGTTTTATACATCAATAGGTTTGTTGATACATGTATTCCATTGCATGTATTCCATTGCCTTAAAACTGGTATATGTATTTCATTGGTATATGCATTTCATGGCCTTAAAACTGCTATGGGACAAGGCCAGTAATCTGAGAAAAAAATATTTCTATAGTAGTTATTTAGCTAAGAATACATTTGTCACATTCAGAGGGTGAGGGAGTCCAATAAAATTACTCAAGTGGTTCTGTTAGAAAAATATCCACACTTTGTATATATTTCACTTATACAACTTGTTAGGCAGATCCTGTAGTACCCCTTGCTCTCTACATTGATGGTTCAGATAGATGTGGCTAGAACATACAGGACACACAGCCCTGATCAACAGCAGGGGAAGTGCTCAGAAATACTTGCAAGCCACTTTCAAGTGAGTATCATAGCAATCAAAGTTCAATTAGAATACATGGAAATCTCCTGAATTTAAAGCCACAATAAAGGTTTACTGATTTAAAGTAGGTCCTATACTCATGTGTTTTCACTGATACCCCATTTACCCAATCCTGTTTATTTAGACTGGTCAAGCCTAGCTTGAGGAATGGAAGCTGCCAAGTCTGGATTCAGAATGAATCAAAGAGCTGGTGTGCTCCAGGACTCTTTTTATCCCCAAAGTCCTTGTTTCATTGATTTGTAAGTTCAGCAGGCGTTGATGGGACTGAGGCTTCCTTGCACTTCGCACCCAGCTTCTCGTTGTCTGTTTTCCAGTGGCATTTCTTTTGCGTATCTGTTGGCTCTCAATGACTTGATTCTTTCTTACCTATTTTTCAAAAACATCTTGTGACAATAGTTCTGGCTTTGTCCTCTCTGTGTATGTGCTTAGTTCATTTTTAAGCTATGTCCACAATTGTCAATTTCAGCCTCATTTTATAAATAACTAATAGGTATATACTATTTTCTTTTTCCTACTCTTCCATATTGGACCCCCGTTCTTGTTCATTAGGGAGATGACTGCTATGGAAGTAGCCTTCTACAGCATATACTATTGCTTCTAATCTCTGAAATGAATTCTTTCATTTCAGAAGAATCTTTCCATTTCAAAACAAAGACATTCTCAACCTAGAACCAGCATGCAGGCTGGCAGAGAGAAGCTATATTATTCCATTAGGTTTGCTGTTTTGTGTAGAGAGAATCAAACAATTGAAAACAATCTTCTGAAGATTGTCTTTTGTCCTATTTGTTTTCCATATTCACTATAATGTATCAATGATCCTCTCAGTATAATGGCTAAATATGGAAAAGATTGTGTAAGAAATAAAATGGAGAGTCTTTCTTGATGGAAATACTCTGGAAAGTGCTGCACAGATATTCCCTACTACTATACTTGAATGGGCTTAATCAACAAAATGAAATTCAGCATAACAGCTCTGTCGCTGGTTAAACATGGACAATTTCTAATTAGTTGCAATGTTCATAGATAAGCTGTAAGCTATTTCTTTTTCCACAATATGACTGCCTTGAGTTTTTGTACCTTTCTATCATTGGTTTGTTGTTGTTAAATATTTTGCTTCAAATTCTACCATAGTAAATTTACTTTGAAAGGTTAGATCAGTAAGGGAGAATTTTGTGGCATGATTAAAATTAGGCCAGTTTGGAATCTTATGATTATAACTTTACACTTTGCAATTCCCAGTGGCAACTATGATGTCCATAAATAGTGTGCAGAGGAGGTTCTGGAAAGGCATACTTTACAACCCTTTTAGAAATAAATGCCCCTCAAGAAATCCAGAGATACTTGTTATTACACAAAACGTGAAGCAGTATTATACTGAGACAATTAGTCTATCTAGCCTAATAATGTATCCATTAACAGATGGCAGTGTGCCCAGTGTGAGATTTGCCCCGTTCGACAGAGAAACTCTCGTGACACGTGTGGTTCACA